GGGGGGGGACAAGAACCTTACCATGGTTCTAGCTTTTGTGCTTTTTGTAAAAGTAAAATGATTTCAGAACTTGACATCCTTTTACCTCATGTGCAGGCTAGTTAAAAACTCTTTGTTCTTCCTTAAGCATACATCATATAATCTCCTCTCTTTCATTGTCATTTTTATTCCTCCTTTTGAACAGGTTGTATCTCCTTTTCCACCTTCTGATAAAATTGGAATAAACTCTGTACAAAGGGAAGCTGAAGAGATACTGCCAATGAAACAGATGAAAATGGACTGGGTTCCATATATACCGTTGGAAAATAGGTATTTCATTCTCATTTTGTCTCTTGTAAGTCTTATGTATGTCTTTTTTGGCTTCAAACAACATACGTTCCTTTGGAACAATGGCATTGTCCCTTAGTTAACTTTCTTTCTTGTTGCCTCTCTTGTATGTCTTATGTAACTGTTTTATATCTTGGCTTCTGATGCTGCTTTTATTCTTTGGCTGACCAACAGGGAATCTCAAGTTGAAAGACTCAAATCCCAAATTTTTATTCTGAGGTGTACTCAAAGAAGGTCAGCTTCCTTACCTCCTGCATTCTTCTTTGATGGTTTGGCTGATGGTATTTGGTCTGTTAGGCACTCAATTTTCTCAGTATGGTATCTGAGGAGAATTTTTCACTGTCATAAGATGCATGATGCTTCCGTGTTAAAGAGGTGATAGGAGACAATGAAAAACTTTCTGTGATTAATATCTTTCTACTTTTTTATTCCAGGGCTGGTTTAAAACACTTGAAGCTGGAGCGAGTGAAGAAGTTTGAATATTGCTTACCTTGTAAGTAAGATAACTCCAATATCAATGGAGATTAAGCCCTTTATTTGTTTCCTTGTGTCCATCATTAACGTAGTTTAAGTTTTACCTTTATGCTGCTTTAATTTCTGAGATTAGTTGATTCTGTTATAGTATCATGATAATTGACGCGTATATCTTTCTTTCAGAATCTATCCTCAGAGGTAACTCCCTTCCCACCCTCCCCCACATTTGTTGTTCTGAAGCAGGTCTAAGGACTTGCTAGTCCATAACTACTTGAGTTATTAACATGTAAAGATGGTCTGCATCAAGCCTTTCTCATTAATTCTCATTTCTAAAAGCAACAAGTTTGATGATTAGCTTCCTTTCAAACTTGCTTGGAGGATATGTGGACCTCTGAGATTAATAGTTGCACTGCAGGCTAATTTGCTTTAGAATAACATTCAACAGGGGGAGAGGGTTTAGGTTAGCAAATTGCTTCTATCTTTGTAAGGATGATGAGTCGGTCACTTATCCTATCTTTTTCTTCATTCCGAGGGGACATGTTTCTTTGTATAAGGTGCATTGGGTAATGTCTAATTGTGGTAAGGCTTGCTTATTGGGCATGGCTCTGTACTGCTGTGCTTCTCCCTGGCTGGGAGTCTCTGGAATGAATTTTAATATATCTCTAATGAGCTGTTTTGAGAAAACTATCTTCTGAGTGAAGCTTTTTGGCTGGATTGCTTAATTTTGTATCGCTGAATGATACAAGTCACTGTATTTAAATTCAGAAAAATCGAAATTTAAAGTTGCATTGTCTGTGTGCTAGCACTGAGTATGCGTAGAAAACTAAAATCTTTTAGTTACTGACTTTTTGCTGTCTGATTTGCTGATAGTTTTTTCTTTTTAAATGTATTTACATATACTTGATCTGTTGTAAAACGTCATCGTTAAATTATTAATATGTTTCTGATAATCATCATAAAATTATTTAATTGAATATCAAGCATGTTAGCCTTTATATGTGGGTTTAAGTTTGTTTGAGAAGATGATATCTAATGATTTCTTATATTAGTTGATTCTAGCTTGGTGCTTCAGTTTCATACATTTTTCTCTGCCGTTTATTTTGCAGTTTTTCACTTGTGAATGAGACGATAAACTGTCAACTTTAACTTTCCTTGCTCTGTACGTTTTTTAATCGTTATAGTTGTCTTTGATGGGTTCTGTTTTTGGGTAGAAGTCTCTGTGACATTTCTTTTCTTGGCAGATTTCTATCAGCCATTTGCAGAAGATGAACTTGAACAGAGCACCATCGTGCAGATCTTATTCCCAACAGAACCGCCTGTAAGCTTTCAAATACTAGTAGACTATACAATAGCTATTCCACAATGATAGTGTCATAAAAGGGATTGCTTGAGGATGACTTTTCTTGGTTTGATATTGTTATTAATTGGGAGTGACATGAGCAATATTGTATGCTAGATTCATAAGTGGTTATATGAAGAGAAGTATAGGCATATAGGCATGATCTTCACAATTTTATGAACGTTTTGACTTTGTTTTGCTTCAGGTGTTTTGCGAGTTTGATTGGGAATTTGATGAGCCAGAGGTATGCTTAACCCTTCTCTTTTTATTCCCTGCCACCTGTCTACTTTTTGGTGCCGTCCTCTTTCCAAATGAAAATTAAAATGCTGTTCAGAATCTCTTTAATTGGTTCTGTGGTTGACCTCATATGTTGAAGCTCTTTAAGACATTTGACCACCAGCTTAAACTTCTCTATTTCTCCTATAAAAAGAAACTTCTCCATTTTCTCCTTTTAATGTCCTAAATTTAGAGAAACTTGTTCAGCTGAAAAAAGAAACTATTCGATATTTGTGTGATTGTTGCATAATTGAATTCCATTTATCCTAATTTAGTAAACTGCAAGAACTCAGAGATTCTTGTTCATTCTCAAAAAAAGAACTAGGAGGTTCTTGCTGAGATACCATATTTGTGAGTTTGATTGGATTTTGAGGTTTAAAAAATTTGAGTAGCGTTGATGAACTCCAAGGATCGTCACAAATCTTAATGTTTAACTTGCACATTTGCTACTATCCAATTCAATATGTTATCTTTATGATTTCTGCTGTTGCAGCATTTGCTTACACACAATGAACAGAATCCAGCAATTCCTTGAAATAAACTCTCTTTTTTTGTTGAACTATCACTAAGAAATTCTTTGTTTTCAACCAAAACCAAACTTCTCTCTTCTCCATTTTACTAGAATAAAATGGAAAGGAGAAAATTCTCCTCATTGGAACCCACAATAGAAAATCGTTTACCTTTCTGGACCTCACTCAGCCATTTCTGAGCAGATCCTGCCTTTTCTCTGATTTGGCTTTTCTTTATGATGATTCCATGTTTTTAGACACCTGTAAGAGCGGACAAATTTTATTTTCTTAGCAGTTCCAGCGAGAGGCTTAAAATAATCATCCTATGGGTTGCCATTTTTCTTACCAAAGTCGTTTGTAGATTGAATGGCAAACTTGTATCAAGTTTGGAAATTGTTTAAGATTATAAACTTTGACACGTGAAGAAGCAAAGTAATTAGTTGATAGAATACTGCATCAAGTTTGAAATAAAATAAAGTTCAAGTTTGTTATATGAATTGTTGGCGTGAATTCCATTCAAGGAGAGAGGCGAAGCTCTATATAAAATAGTTACAGTTTATACTTGAGTTGAATTGATTTAGCGAGATAAAATTTTCATTTTACTGAAGAGGTAAATTTTGCAATATGAAACAAAGGAGAATTAGCATTTTCCTCTATTGGTTCAAGTATTGCAAGTTTTGCTAGTTTCAAGTCATACCAATCTGTATATGCCCGTGTATAGTTCCATTTTCAAGCCATTTTACCATCTATTAACTTGAGTGACAAAATTTGTAGGAAATGGCAGACAAATTAGTTGAGGCAGAGGAGTTAGCGGCAGATAAAAAAGATGAATTTATGGTAACGCTTCCTTGTGATATCAAATGACAATACTGATTGTACATCAGTAAAATATTTACCTTATCAAAAAAATTGTAAAACTTAAATGAATCATCTTTGTCATTATAGGAATTTGTGAAGGAGAAGGTTCGTGAAGGAAAGAAGAATAATCGAGAGGTATATTTTGAGATTCTTGTTGCAATCCTGTATCTTTTTTCGTGTTAAAACTGTTGGTTTGTGTCAATACCAGAGTGCTTGATTTGCTTATGTTGATGACTCATAATTTTCTTTGTTTTAGGCGAGAGAAGCCAGGAAAAAAGCTATACAGGAGATGAGCGAAGAAGCTAAAGCTGCATTTCAAAGTATGAAGTTTTACAAATTTTATCCGATGCCCTCACCTGATGCGCCTGATGTATCTCAGGTCAAGGTTAGTATTCTGTTCGTAGTCTTAAGTTTCGTATAAATAGGTCTATGCATGACCTCATGGCTGCGTAGCTATTGTTTAGTTAGATTGTTTGGACCCCGCCCTCCCCTGCAACCCTGCTCCCCACAATTTGGTATGAGATTTTTGATGAAACTGATAAATTGAGAGCGTTGAACCCTCAAGATTTAGGCTGTATTGCTGCTTTAGTGTAACACAACATTAAAATGAGATCTATCTTAAGACTCAATATAGATTATTAACTGTTTGATATGTTGCAGATAAAATTCGTGGTCCTCACCTCTTTCTTTTGTTTCCAAATTTTCTTTGCAGTCTCCATTCATAAACAGATACTATGGAAAGGCTCACACAGTTTTCTGAATGATGCATCAAAAATATAAGTGACTATATTGTTGAACCATGTACCTTTGGATGCCTACTTTGGAGCTGCATGATGGAATCATACTACTCAACTTAAGCTTGTACCTTGAAGCAACCATTTGGATTTATGGAACTATTTGAGGATGTAGAAGATGCACAGAAGCAAAATGTAGTTTCTTTGTCTCAACCTTATAGGTAGAGTTCAGTAAAAATTTTTGGCAACGTGTTCTTGTCTTCGCTAACTGAAATTTTTTCCTCATTTCGGATACAAATGTAATCCTTTTCTGCTGAAGCTTTAGTTATCATGTTCACCCCTACGAACAATAGGAGCTGCAATTACAGTTGGTTCCCAGTTCGACTTTGAGCTATAAATTTTTAGTTTCATATAAACTTGAGTGAATGTTGTATCCACTCATGATGATGTTTTCTTCTGATATGATACTTATGTGAGCATGGCTAATACTTAAGCAGGACCAAATTTAACTGCTTGCTTCCTTTTGCATTTTTGATTGGGATGAAGATATTGCTAATATTTGCAGCTATGCTATGGCTACATATGTACACTGAAACCCTCTGCTAAAATAAGCAAATGAGTCTCTTTAGACTGGAAATCCTTGCGGAACAGAAAGATCCATGATTTGAAAGTTGGCTAAAATGGTTGAATCCTAGGGTATCTGGAAAGTGAAAAAAAATATCGAGCCGTAATAGAAAACATCACGCAAATGATGTTTTGAACAAGAAAGAAAGACTGACTTTCAAAACTAGTGGTGTTAAACATGTTATAAAATTTCTGTAGGTATAAAGTATGTCAATAAAGGTAATTAAAAATTTAAAGTTAAATTATTTTTAAATATACACGAGTATAATTCTTTTATGAATAGATTAACAAGGATATTGTATCACAAAATGGAATGGAGCGAGTGCTAAAATCCAAGGTACAAATACTCAAAAACTGCACTCTCCTCCTTCACCCAAAAAGAAAAAGAAGCAATGGTAAAATATGAGGTAGGAAGTAACGTGAACATTAGAGGATTGGGTGGTCATTGGTAGAGATGCTACTAAATATCTTGCAAGTGTCAAAGTTTGATCCTCACCAAAAAGAAAGATACAAAATAAAGGAACCTTACTTATAGAAGGAAAACTTGCCATCTAAATGGTTCTAAGTACCAAAACAATGTAAATAGTTCAAGTCGTTGAAGCAGCCACTAATGTTTATATTGGGATAGATAGTTTACATCACACCCATTGGGTGCGATCCTTCCCCGGACCCTGTGTGAATGCGGAATGCTTTGTGTACCAGACTGCCCTTTACCAAAACCATCTATCCATGAAGTTAGCATTTTATTTATAGATTTACATTGGGGTGCAGTGCTTCCTCATAATTATTATCAACCTTTTGTCTATTGACGAGGGAAGCACCCTCTAAATTTGTATCCATGAAAAGAAGGCAGGTGTAATTACTGTTTTAGTGTTACCGTCCTGTCCAAAAAGAATAAAAATTACAGAATGGAAGAACAAAACCCAAGACCCATCAAGTTAAATAATCAAAACCATATAGATTCCAATAATATGGTATACAACAAATCCTGAAAAAGCATATAAACTTACCATAGAACATTGGTACCAGTAGTCTACACAATCTACAAACCAACACTTCTTTAATTTAAACAAAAAGAAAAAAAAAAAAAAACTACAAGATGCTCTTTGGTACTACTGTATCCTGCATTTTCACAAGATGATGTTACAAGACTCAACCTGCTTTCTCCAAAATATAAACCAAAAATAAGGGAGAACTAATGATACAAGGCCTCATCTTGCTCTTTCAGCTAGCCTCTAATGATACAAATAATTTTACATGTATATATAATAAACCTAATCACCCTTAAGCCAGGCACTTAACGCTCATCTTCTACTAATTAATGATACAAGGCTAAAGTTCCTTGACCGGCGTAAATCAAAACAGTGTTTCATCCAATAATAGGGCTTCTCGCCTATAATCTTCAGCCAGCCCCTAATGATACAGATAACTTTACATGTAAACATAAACCTAATCACCCTTAAGCCAGACATTTTAGGCTCATCTTGTAATAATTGATGATACTAGGCTACAGTTCCTCGATGGGCGTTGATCAACACAGTGGTTCATCCAATAGGGCTACAAGCCTGAAATCCCTCCCTTTTAGTATTCAACTGGAGTTATAAAAGCGTCCAGAACCAGTGAAGAAAAGTGATCCTTCCACTCACTAGGGCCAGCAAAAGGCATCATACCACATAATAACGGGAGAAAAAGAAGTAATGTGGTATAAAACACAGATCTCCTCATCCAGTATGGAAATCTTGTATCCCTCGTGCTCTTTTCTGACACAGTGACAGGTTCGTTAAGGATCAGGAACAAAGTCGAGATACAGACATTCGAAAAGAAATGTAGCAAGCACAGAGTCTCCCAATAAATTAACCAATGATATCCGCTGCCCCCCAGGGTGTCGATACAAAACTTCCCTGCAAAACCGCAGCCAACTCCCAACAGCAACAGAATGAAAGTAACTGGCATCGTCTGGTTTGAAATTGCAGAGCGTTGGAGTAGTAAATAGGCTATAACCAATATCATGAGCGCACCAAATAGCATGCGACTGAGAACTTGAACTTGACACCATAGAAGTTGCAGTCCTGAATTAAAAGTTGACATTGATTTTGGCATCCACCAAGACGACTTGTACTCCTGGAGCGAAAAAGATGTCCATTTCATTAGCATAGGTATTGCAAATAAATGCTATACACGGGGCAACACATGGATAAACCGAGACGGCCAACTATTTAATTTATCATCCATGGGGTCCATGCTTTAGAAATAACACCAAAAGCAGCATCTATAGCAAATAACATTGACTTCTTAGGACAACAAGTCTCCTTGAGAAAAAAGTTCCTTCCCTTTTTGTGCATCTCCTAAGTAGGTGAATTTGTTAGATATAAAAAGAACAAAGGAAGTGAAAGAAAGAGAAAATACAAATCTTTAGACAGCATTTGGTATAAAGAAACCATTTTTTCCCAGCTATATGCCACTTGGCAACTATATAGACAGAATATATTTATTGTGCCTTATTATTCTATAACCATTACCCCTCTTTTCCACCCTTCATCCAACTTGAAAATGGGCTTTTTCATTCAAGAACTTCCTGCATGCATGTACCTGACACCTTTCGTTTTGACTCGGACTTGCATAAACAAGGGACTCAAATGAGCTTGTGACATAAACGAAAATGATGCATGTTACATCTATTCCAGCCACCCCCTACTGACACCAATGAAAAAGACTTGATGTAGCAACAGGAAAAGAGTTAACATTCTTTTTTTGTTGCTAAGTTTCTGCCATCTACAGATTCTAAAAGAACCATGTGGAAGGGAAGATGAGGCAATTGGCTTGAGTCAATACTATACTAGAACTCTTAAGAAACCCTATAAACAAAATCATCGCAATTCAGAATCAGACATCACTTACCATGGCAGGTGTGCAGGATGCTGTAGCTTCAGTAATTCTTTTGTGAGAGAAAACATAAGTTCCATATCCAAGACACGCCAACATGATAAATAAACCAGCAACAAGGCAGTCTATACATGTTTTAAGCAACTCAGCATGTTTTAAGTCTTCTACTTGATTTTTAAACTTTTCGGCTTTGAAGGACGTCTTAGAGATTCCAAATGAAAGTTTGACCCTCTCCAAAAGGTTCGCATCAGAACTGAGAGACAGCTGCCTTTCTTTAAGTTGCAACTTCCTCATTGTAAGACCAATCTCAAATGTCTTGAGGTCATTCGACCTAGCTTGCTCCATGACAGATCTTTCCAAAGTGCTACTCACAGATTGATTAATCTCTGTATTGGATGAAATCATGCTTGAAGAAACAGAAGCCAATTGCTGCCTTACTTGCCTATCATAGAGGGTAAGCTGCCGACCTATTGATTCAAGACATGTACCTTCACTTCTCTCTTCTTGATTGCTCAGTTCGTTATCTGATATGGCACTCTGCTGACATGACTCCGATTGAAACTTGCTGAAGTCAGGATCACATGTAAGATTTTCTAGTCTGTTGGAAATCAAAGGCACAGATCTTTCTGAGACAGAAGTCCTCGCTGCACAATGATTTTGCTGTACTCCATCGTTCATAGAGGACTCACTGATTAATCTGAGAGTCATCAATGTACTACGAAATGATTTCTCAAAGTTCCTCACGAAAGACTCAAACTGGTCACCAAAGACCTGTTCCCAAAACAAGCCAAAAGTAGAAAGTCTGCTGCTTTAACATCGTGACTATGTTGAGCTGACTGTATTAGTGACAAACCATAGCTTAAGAGAGAGAAGATGGATTTTGCTTACATTGGCCAAAGACTCTCGGACAGCCAAAGTACAAATCTGAGGGAAAAATGACAGAAAATAAAATCATGAAATCTACACATATGATTTCTCTGAGGAAATACGAGATGTTTTAAACATGTCCACGACGGCAGGTTATAGTTGTAATCTAAAATTCAATCAAGTAAGGAAGTTCACTTGGACAGAGGAGATAAAACACCCTTGAAGTCCATTTTTTGATATATAGTAATATGGTTCTGCGAAGGGCAAACCATTATTAAATCCCACGTCACTTCAAGGAAAATTGTTCGTCCATAAAATTTATCTCATACCTCTGAGAGGTGATCCACAGATATCTTTTCTCCGGCTGCATCTTTCCTTTCCAAAACCTAAACGAAGCAACATAAGCTATATTAACAGCCTACACTTACTATATCCTTATAAACACATAACAAACATGGTCACAACTCATGAGCGACTACCAACATATTAAGTTCCTGCGATAAGGAGGGTGACAACTTTGCAGCAGCACAAAGATGCAGTATCAAACAAGACAAAACTCATTCTTTAGAATGTGAAGCACCTGTCATGTTTGAATTAAATGGACACCAGAATACACAATGTTTATAGGGCTTTTAGTAGTAAAAGGCAGCTTATATCTAAAAGGTAACACCGTCCAGTTAAATGACAATAAGTGCTACTAACAAAGAGTATCACGTCCTCCTTTGTTGTTGTTGTCGTAGTTGTTGTTATCATTATCATTGTAATTTCTTTGAAGCAAATACCATGAAGCTTATCAAAATACTCTATGATGTCATGATCATAAAACAAAAAGGAGAGAGCTCAAACGTCGTTGATAAATTAACAGAAATAGCAATATCAACAAGCATTCACAGAAGAGAGAAGAGATTCCCAAACAATCAAAAAGAAAGAAGAGATCTCTAAAGATCAGAGCGAATGAATTTAAAATGAGACCAAGAAACTAGTAAGACAAGACACTCAGAAGCTAAAAACGAATTACTCATCAAATTCCTAAAATCATTCCATTGAAATATTAAATAGACATTCTAAGCATGGATGCCATGTCATTACGATGGGATAAGTCGATTGAGCCACATGGCAACAGAACTGCAGAAGGAGCCAATTTCAAGAATAAGGATAAAGCTATCTTTGATTAGCTCATGCTCAGAAAACTCCACGGGTTATTAGAAATAAACTTTTTTTTACGATAGTGGTAACAGGCCAGCTTATGAGAAATCAAGTATTGTCTTGAGTTTATTCCTCAAGAAAGAAATTTTTTGAGTTAATTTTAACAGAATTAAATGGATATTATAGGAGCATGAGAAAAGATAAAAGCTAAACATGCAACAATGGATATCACATTTCTATCACAGATATACAATACAGGGAAGTTCAAAGAATAAAAAAGAAAAAGGATGAGGCCATCAGAGATGTTACCCTCATCGTGCATCATGAGAGCATTCCCATCCAAAAACCAGATACAATTGGTACTTTTGAGCAGAAAGAGTGATAATCAACCTAGTAACACTATTTAGTGTTACGACAGATACAGCAAAGCAGCGTTACGAAATATGAAACAAATCTAACATTTATAAGTGTGCAGCCTTAGGGTTGACGGTATAGGCAGGGGACAACTATCGAGTGGAAGCAGGTTTAGCAACGACCACCGAAGCAGACTATGACTCAAAAAGAAGAGGAACAGAATCAAAATTCATTGGGGTATCAATGCAGGTGATTGAGAAGGGATCAATACATCTCCACCTAAGATAATATAAAACTATACCTAGTTTTATCATAATGACTACAATACAAAATTATGGAACTAGCATTCACAAAGAAAAATATATAATGAATGCAAAAAATGAAGAGTCAACTTCACAAAAGATGAAACATAATAGTATATTTCTTTTTCCAAATAAGAACTACCAATATCCACCTTAGTAATAAACTGAAGTTTCACTCCGTTCGGCTAAGCATACTAGTTTTAAGATCCAGATTGATTCAGATGTTAAAGACCTCTAGCAGAATGCACACACAGTCGATGAACGACTTTCTATTTCTTCCAATCATAGCTACACTTGACCTGAATGATACCATCTTAGAACTGAAAAAACGACATACTAGTAGATAGAAAGAATAAGACTTGTTATCAGAAGAATGAAGTATTAGGCTCCTAACTTAATATAAAGTTATAAACTGTGTCGTCCTAGCTATATTCCAGTATCTCGAAAACTAACCATCTTACCCAATTAGTAATAGTTTTGTTGCTTTCTTTTCTTTAACAAACAATACTGCAAGTTGAACAGCTAGGGGGATCTTGGATTTAAAAAAACTGATATAACAACCTAGACTGTTCTGCTTTTGATATTTTACTACACAAATGTTGAGCCAGCTTTAACAATCTTGTCCGAAACTCGTTCTAGAAAATACATTATTGTGAGGTCATATGACTATGAACAAGTTATCAAGCCTATTGAATGATACAGAAATATACAAAAATCAAGCCTATTGAATGATAGAGAAATATACAAAAATGGTTGAAACATGATCTTCAAGATTAAAAAAAAGGATACACCACGACACAAAAAGGAAACATGATCTTCAAAATAAACCAGTGCAACATAGCAGCTCCACACACCTCCTTTCAGTCTCAACACATTTTCTAATAACTTTAGAAAATTCAAGAATATCCAACTGTAATTCCAAATCATCGCCAAAAGAAGTAACAACAAGAAGCACAAATAACTGATATAGCATCTTTGCCAGCTAGATTTCAATCTCAAAATCAAGATCACTTCTTTCGAAACAAAAAATACAACTTTCACGAAAAAGACTGAAGCTTTTCCATGTAATCGAACAATGTACTTAAAAAGAAATAAAATAATTTCCATCCACAATTACAAATCACAGTATTTAGTAAACACAAGAAACGCCATTAAAAAATATGAATACTACCAGCTACAAATCAATCCCAAGCTCAACAATAGCATAAAATTCACATAAAATTGAATCTTGCATCCTAAAGGTTCACAAATTTCACATAAAAGACAGATTCTTTTTGCATTCTAAAGGTTCAAAAGTTTGCTAAAATTAAATATAAATAGATATAACTAGGATACTAGCAAGCACCACGGACATTAAAAGAAAGGAACTACATTTTACAATTCCAAAAAAAGAAAAAGAAAAAAAAGGAACCTGAGCAAGAACAGCAGCAATAGACATGCCGAGAGGGAGAGCAAGGGCTTCAACATTCTCATCACTTTTCTGCCTGCCGGCCCCAATTACCACTCTAGGGTTCCGACGACTTGCCGAAACCCTAATACCCCTTTGAGAAAACCACGTCGTAGAACAAGATGATGATGAATAGGAGGCAGCGGAAGAAGCATGAGGGTCAAAGGGATCATTGACGCACGCTTTATTCTTCTTTTTCTTCTTCTTCGTTTTATTCTTCATAACGCCGCCGGAGTTTGAAGATTCCGGTGGAATTTCGGTAGCCATGGTGTCGCGAGTGGGCTCCGGCGGTGGATCCACGGGTTGAGATAGAGGGTGGTGGTCCATAGAATGGGTAATTCTTGAAATCCTTGATCTTTTTGGAAGATAATGGAGATGTTTTTGTTTTTAGTTAGAGTTTGTGGTACACCAAACATAATTATAATTAATTAAGGAAAAAAATTACGACACTTTTGTTTTGGCAACGGCTAGAATTTAAGGTCTTAGGACTCTAGGAGTCTTAATTTGTTATGATTTGGTAATATTTTACGGGGGTCAATTACACCTCAAAAAATAATTATTAAGGAAAAGAAAAGAATGCACGGGAGTTCAGTAATGGAAAAAACTTACCGACACAAGTGTTTACGTCAAATCAATACACACATGTCAAGTGTTTGTACATACACTTTGCTAACTTCGCCATGATTAGCTAATGTATATCCTTACCTTATAAGTCATCTAATCATGGTAAACTGATATGATTTGATTTAAACACTTGGTATTGATAATTTTTTACCGTTATGTATCCTTCCCACAACATCTCCTCAACCATAAATTTGAGCAGGGTATGCAGGAGCAATGCAATACGTGACACGCAGTCATGTTAAACTGAGCAATCCTTGAAAGTACAAGAGGGGAAGGGGTAAATTGTATATTTTTAAACTTAATCTCTATTAGTTGACTCGTTTTTCAATTAGTCGACTAGATGAAATAAACTAACAGTTGTAATAACAAAATATAGGATTAAGAAAGTAAATGCAGGAATTAAAGACACCGAAATTTTTATACTGGTTCGGATTCAATGTGAATCCTAGTGCAGTCCCCTTGGGTTGCAAGGGAATTCTCTTTAATGAATGCGTTTCTTCGAGTATAATGGAAATGACGTGATAGTTCAGTTCATATATCACTCGTCTCTTTTGATACAATGTCTCACCAGTGTTGATCTCTCTTTCTTCTCTAACTTGTTACACAACAGGTCGTAAAGAGCTACAATGTTTGTTTGCAGTAGAATAAAGAGAGGGTGTTTGGTTCGATCAAAGTATGTCTAGCTAGGTGTGATTACAGGTTTAAATACTTTGAGAGAGAGGCTTGAATTCTGGAGAGATTTGCCAATCCAAGAGATTTGATCCTTGGAAAGAGATTGATTCTTTCCAAGAATAAAGTTGTTCTTCAACAGCTCTGTTGAACTTGGAATCTTGATCTTCTATATTTAGACACTTGATGAATATGCAGTGAGATCTTGATTTATCTGATTCCTTGAGTTTAGCTATGATTGATTCCATCTGTATCTTTTGTGATTTCGTCTTTCTTTAATTGCGTCCCTTGATTCCGTCAGTATCTTCATGATTGATTGCTTCCTCATTTAATCGCGCCTATATTCCGTCAATTTTGTAACTCAATCCATACGTTCCTTTATCAGTGATTTCGCCAATCCAAGAGTTCAGGATCTTCGATGCTAATGTGCTGGACTTGATTGATGCCTTAAGTTTAGGCTTGTTTGAATCTTTCCATCGTAGCTGTCCATTGATCTTCCTGATCTTTGCTGATTGATTTCTTTCCTTAAGCTTCCTGATCGATCTCTTCAATCTTATAGTAACTCCTTGATTCTTTGATCTTCTCTAATTGATTTCTTCAATCTTTGAATGGTTGTCCAGATTTCCTGCACAAATATATTATTTGCATCATTAAAATAAGATCTAACAATCTTCCCCTTTTTGATGATGACAAAATAATATATATGTATAAACAATAGTTGGCTTCCCTGTGTTTTACTCCCCCTCAATGTATGCAGTTTACAGGTGCATGGTACTCCCCCTCAGTTCCTGCAGTTGACTAGTCCATGATTATAGATGTTGTAGTCGACTCCTGCCGTAAAGGATGCTAGCGTACATTTGCCCTTGAGTCAACTATACCTGTATACAAATATATATACTCTTCTCCCCCTTTTTGGCATCAGCAAAGAGGGACTAGACAGAACAAACCACGAATTAAAACAGAATATATAGCATTATGCAGCAGAGTTATAGTCCAAAAAGAAAAAACCAGAACAAAACAGAAACAAAAATTGTCCAATGGCTGAGTGAACAACCCAAAAACAACACATCAAAAAAAATTTATCTTAAGCAATCACATTAGGTAAGAGTGTTGCAGATGACCTCCTTTAGTTGTTCAAAGCTAGCATTGGCTGAGATGCTCACTCCATCCAACCTGTCATGAATTTCCCTAAAAGCCTTGACAGCGTTCTCCCTTACTTTGAGAACGACAACTCTTATCTCGGACACATCAGACCTTGTTTCTTTGGAGATGACATGAATGTCACCAACAGTTGACTGAGTGGCCGTGAGAAGATTTTTGATTTCAGAGAGTTGAATGTCAATGGCACGAAGCTTCTCACCAAGATCAGGATTACCAGGGCTGGGATGAGAGGCAGAGGGTTTAGGTTTGGGATATATAGGAACATGCTTTACATCACCTTCGTGCTTCTTAACCCAGGAGCCCTTCACGCTCACATATCCCATACTGGCAAAAGCTCTAGAATTGTAAGATTTTGAAACAGTGATAAAGGGATAAGCAGACAGGGAAATTTGGCGAGCTTCCAGGATGTGAGTGATGGCCATGCCATAGGGTAGACTGGTGGGATCTTCTGCACTTTCAATCATGAAATTAATGACCTAAGAGGATAACTTGACTTTGAGTTTGGTCACAAGGCAGTATACTAAGAAGGTGTCTCTTTGAGAGAAGGTGAAAAAGAAACCAGTACGGGGAAGCAGAGTAGTTGCTACAATGTGAGCCAGGACTCGAGTTTTGAAACTAACATCACTGGGGCCTAACTGGTTGGGAAGGGATTCAGAGGGATACTCAGCAATACACTGTTTAGCTTAATCAAAGAAAATTTCAAAATCATCGGGCCAGGTATTTTTGAAAAGCATAGGAAAACCAGAACATTTACATTGAAAGAGCGAATCAAACAAGGCACAATAAAGAACAATACGCTTACCTAACACTAAGGATTCCAACCTATCAGGTTTACTAGAGCGAAGATTAGCATAAAACATTTTTACCAGGGGTTCATAGACCTTAGGCGGAGGAATAGAGAGGAACTTAGACCATCCTTGATGAACAAAGAGATTTTTTACCTTACAATTTAGGGCTTCTATGTCGTCAAGGTTGACTACCCTTCCATGAGCAATGAGCTTGTCTTTCAAGGCAATGAAGAAATCCCTGTTTGGAGAATCCTAGAAATTCAGGTCAGATTCTAGAGAGCCAGAAATATCGATCTTGGATTTCTTTGGAGTAGAGGAAACAAGGGGGTTTTCCATGGGTCATTTTCCTAGAGCTTTTTCTCCTAAAAATTGAGAATGATCAGACAAATTTCCCCGCGAAGAAGCGAAACCCTCAGAGTGGTCGGACCCTAGGTCTACTTGTTCTGGGGGCATAGAAGGGGGTTTTGCTTTGGAGCGGGTACTTTATCTGGTGGAAGCGGATGAGTTCTTGGGTTGTTTGGTCATTGAAGGAAAGTGGTTTGAGCAAAGCTTTGGAGAAGGGTTTTCTAGATGATAGGGATGAGAGTGATTGAAAAGAGATCTCCGCCTTAAGAAGAGAACCTTCTGACAGTTGAGTACAGAAAAGGAAAAGGCGTCAGTCGAATAGACGTGATGATTGGCTTTCCAACTTTGAACGACGGAACTGATGTGAAAGAAGAGGAAAAAGAGGGAAAACGGAGGCGTAATTAATGCAAGAGTAAAAGACAATTATTAAACCTACAAAAGTAACCATATTATACATAAGTCCTACATGTTATTATTCAAGCAAGTAATGCCAAGTAATTTTCTTAAAACACAAAATCTATCTTCTAATAACGGCTTAGTAAATATATCTGCTAACTGATCAGTTGTTCCAACAAAAGATATTTCTATGTCTCCCTTAAGAACATGATCTCTAATAAAATGATGCTTGATATCTATATGCTTTGCTCTAGAATTATGCACATGATTTTTTGAAAGACAAATAACACTTGAATTATCACAAAAAATTTATGTAGGTTTAAAGGAAAGTTCATAGTCACCCAGTTGTGGGACATCCATAGTAATTGTGCACAACATTGTCCAATAACAATGTATTCAGCTTCAGTGGTAGATAATGCAACCGATGCTTATTTTTTACTGTTCCAGGATATCGAAGCCTTTCCAAGTAATTGACATGTACCACTTGTGCTCTTTCTATCTTCCTTATCACCTGCAAGGTCAGCATCTGAAAAACCTTCTAATTTAAAAGAGTTAGAGCAAGGATACCATAGTCCGTGGGAGACAGTCCTAATGAGATATCAAATGATTCTCTTTACAACAGTCAGATGAGATTCTTTAGGAGCTGACTGAAACCTGACACATTTACACACACTGAACATAATCAAAGAAGGCATATGTTCTTTTACTAAGCAGTCATCACATGGAACTTTAATAGAACATTCTCAACATTTTGAAAAACGAAAGTAACCTAGTATTAATTAACATTCACACAGTCAAAACAGTCAACTATAATTAAAAATATTTCAACAGCACCAAAAGAAGGTTCAAGTATCTAAAACCATACAAACAAAGAATGTACTTACTTCCATTGTAGTGGTGGACTCCAATCTTAGCCAGCATAGAATAGTACTCTATCTCAGACTTTCTGAGTGGAGGGCAGTTGTTGGCAATGATGATAAGCTTTCCTGTAATTTACCAAAGCAAAATTCAGAAATCCATGTTACATAACAGTCAAGACAATTCCTTCATAACAGCAGAAACCCATAATCTCTATGATTCCGGAAAACAAAAGTCATTTACAGATATATAACCAGCACCATAACTCTCATTATTCAATCAACATACCATGCCCACAACGTTAAATCACTCATTGAACATTTTCTGATAATTTCTTAATCTAAGCAATTTTTAGTACAAATTTGGACCATTACTCGATCAATGCAAATCATCCTTGGGCACAGACCATGCTAATCTACTCAGTGTCGTTGCAATTCTAACCTAAGCAAGGTTTGAACTACCACAAGCAAGAAATTGAAATACATGGGATCTAACCCTAGACCACATTTCTTGTCAAATAAAACCCATGTTTGACAATCTACATTTTTGCATAATAATCTGCTAAAAGATCAACTT